GGAGAGAAGGAGGGCGGGCAGGGACATCTCCAGGGCACGAGGGTCCCACCTGGCCAAGGGTCGCCGCGCCCGGTTGACGGCCTCCAGGTCGGCGTAGCGCAGGTCGAGCTGGCAGCCCACCAGGATGACGGGGGCGCGGGGGCAGAAGTGCTTGATCTCCGGGTACCACATGGTCTTCACATGGTGCAGGGAGTTGGGGTTGGCGATGGAGAAGCACAAAACCACAACGTCGGACCTGGGAGGGGACAAGGGAGGGCTCAAGGTGAGGTTTGGGGACTCCCTCCCTGCCCAGGGGAGCACCCAGGCTCTGCCTCTCCCTACCTGCCGTAGGCAAAGCGCCTGTCCTTGTGGTGGTCACCAAAGGTGTCCCAGAGGCGCAAGGACACGCTGACATCGTCTACCACATCCCGGGAGCGCTCCAGCACCTGCGGGAACAGAAACCACCCAGCTCCTCAGTCCCTGAGCCTCACAACAACAGCAGCGGGGCAGGACACGGCTCCACCTCCTCGGGGTGTCCACCACGGGGTGTCCATGAGCCCCCGCAGCAGCCTCGGCAGCCCTCACTGTGGGAATCCAGAGCTTCCCTCTGGCTGCCCTGGGACCCTGGCAGGGCTCAGGAACCCCCTGGACAGAGCCCCAGAGACACTGGCTGTGATCTCTGTCCATGGAAAAGAGTTTTCAATCTCACAGGATAAATTACCAGCTCTGAGGGTTTGATATAAGAAACAATCAAGGTGGCACGGGTGCAAAAGTGAAATTTTAGGATTCTAGATGAGGGGTCCAAAGGGGACAAGCTGGAGGAAATTGGGTGTGCCTTGTCCTTTTTCTCCTTCTTCATGCCCTCCATGTCTCACTGTGGTGTTGGCATTTTTCTGTTGGTTCAGGCTGGGGACACACTGTCCAACGGAGGTGACAGATATTGGCACATTCTTGTAAATGCAGCCCAGGGAGTTTCTGGTATTTAATGTTTGTCACATCCCACTGAGGGCAGAGCCCCACACGCTGCCCTGCAGGACAGAGCTGGGCAGGGCAGCAGAACATGTGAGAGAAAAACAGAATAAACAACCTTGGAACCAGCACAGACAAATTTTGGCTTTTTCTTTGACAACAGGGCTGACAGACAGAGACTTTCTACACTCTGGGAATCATCAACACCTCAGATTCCGACACTCACCTCCTGGCAGACGCGGTACTGGTCGATGGCCCACACCGTGGGCACGTGGGTGGCGAGGAGCTGGTACTGGGTCAGGGTGGCGTTGCAGGCACGGGCACAGATGAGCCGGGTCTTGCCCACCGCGTTGTCCCCGACCACGACGCACTTGATGGTTTCTACGTTTGGCCTCTCATAATCCATGTCAGAATCCATTAATTGGGACCTGCGAGGGGAAGGAGGGCTCGGCAAACACAGCCAGGACCAGCCAGGGGGTGTCACCAGGGCACCACAGGGGCACAGAGCAGGAGGATGCTGACACTCCCTGGCAGCCCGGGGAAGCTCTGCAGCAGCTGCTCAGCCCTTCCCAGCTCGCTGTGCCCGCCAGTCCCCTTTAAAATTTCATGTTCTGGTGGCAGTGTGGCTGCTGTGCCACGTCAGACACATGGCCTGCGTTGGATTGTGCCCTCCTCCCTCTCCTGGCTCTCCGGCTCATGCTTGTTCATGTGAGATGAGGCTTTTTTTTTTCTCTCCCCTCTGCCTTCCTCCTCTTCCTTTTCTCCATCCCCAGCATTTGCAAGAGAAGCTTCCAGAGCCGCCTGACCGATGCACACGCGGGCACTGCCAGGCTCTGCTGCCTGGCAGAGGACACTGACCTGGCCCCCTTTTCCCACCCCATTCCCAACGGGACATTTTCTCAAAGCTAAGAGCAGCAAGAAGAAACTCCTTAGGTTCCCCAGAGGGACTGGGAGAGCTCCAAGGAGCAGGTGTGACCCCAACACTCCTGAGAGAGACGTTGGTGCTGTGGGTGCTGCAAAGCTGATGAGCAGCACCCAGGTGTGCCCAGGTGTGTCACCCATTCCCTGCTCAAAGCCTAAATCAGAATTAACTCATCACAGCGTGAACCCGAGGGTTTATGTGCTTGCCAGGGGAAAAAGCACTGAGGGGATTGAGGGATAGCAAAAAGGACAAAAAAACCCCCACATCCCAATTTCTCTGAATTTCCCAAGCCCACAGATCTCTTCCCTCTTGGGATGGAAAGGAGGACAAAACCTCCACATCCCAATTTCTCTGAATTTCCCAAGGCCATGGATCTCTTCCCCCTTGGGATAGCAAGGAGGACAAAAGCCCCACATCCCAATTTCTCTGAACTTCCCAAGCCCACAGATCTCTTCCCTCTTGGGATGGAAAGGAGGACAAAACCCCCACATCCCAATTTCTCTGAACTTCCCAAGGCCACGGATCTCTTCCCTCTTGGGATGGAAAGGAGGACAAAAGCCCCACATCCCAATTTCTCTGAACTTCCCAAGGCCACGGATCTCTTCCCCCTCGTCGCTCCCTCCTGGCAGCGGCCTCCCGAGCTGCTATAATAAACCACCAGCGCAGTGAGCGAAAATACCCGGTAACGATGGCAACGGAGCCCTGCACGTGGGACCACAGCTCCCCAAACCGGCAGCCTGGCAAGGACTTGCCAATGTTAGCAGCTCCCTCCATGCGCAGCCTCCCTGGGCACACCTGGGTCCCCGTGGGCAGCTGGAGGCAAAGGCAGGTGGCACAAATCCTGCTCACTTCAGAGACAAAACTTCTCTGAGTAGTTGTCGCCGCATTCCACACCCCCTCCATCCTTTGGGATGCGGGGAATTCGTCCCAAAGGGCTTTGGAAACCAGGAGCAGCAGCAGGGCAGGTGGGCTCCTTCCCCATGAGCCCCTCAAAATCCATTTCTGTCCCCCTCTGCTGCCATCCCATGTCCCCTGCTCCTCCCCAGGATCAGCTCGGCTCGGTAGGACCAGGAGATCTCCGAGCTGGGGGGTGTGACTGCTCGGGGAGCTTTGCTGTGGTTATTTTTGGGCTCAGCCGTGCTCCATTGGGATGGAGGGGGATGGCACAGGAATGACAACTGCAGGTGGCACTTGGGATGTTTGTCCCTTGTGGGGAGCTCAGCCCACCCCCAGCCAAGCCAGCCGGGAAAGTCTGGTGCCTCATGGGAATTAAGGGCTAAATCCTTGTGGGATCAGTGCCTGCCGTGAGGAGGGGGAGAGGGGGACAGCAGCAGGGACAAAAATTAGGTTCTCAGTAAAGCAGAACATCACTGGGGAGCTCTGTTAGCCCCACAGGGCAGCCTCTCACCCCTGACACCACCCCAGGAGGGGCTGAACCTTTTCAAGCCCCCTCCTCACCTTCCCCACCATCACTTCTCTCCTGGGAACAGCTCCAAAACCCACCGGAGAGTAAAAATAACCCGAGATGCTGAGAGATTGGAGTTCCCCCCGAAGGAAAAGCTCTTCCCAGAGGAGCAGGGCTGCTCCAGCCAGCAGCCCCCCAGCCAAACCACGGGCACCCAATTCACACCCACAACCCCACCACGAAGAACCCCAAAATTGCTCCTTCCAGCCTCCCAGCCCGCGGTTGCCACGGCAACTGCACCATCACCCCGGGAGCTGTCGCTTAGCAACTCCCAGGCTCCCAATCCTCCATCCCGCACTTCGCCAGGGGAGGAGAACCCCCAAACCGGGGCGAAGCCGCCCCGAAACGGCGGCGATGCCCAGAAATAACGGGGTGCGGGAGGAACGGGGCCGGGGAGGCCGCGGCGGGAGGCGGTGCGGGAGAAACGGGCCCCGAGCGGGGCTGCAGCACGGCCGGGGGATGCGGCGGGCAGGGGGCACCGGGACCGGGGTGAG